TTTAAATTAGAAAATAATTTATATTAAATCTTACTCTAAATTATGAAATTTCCTAAATGACTACATGTTTCCTAAGTATGCAATTCTAAAATAGGAAATAACTAATGAATGCATTTATCCTAATATGAATGCGATTTTTTTTGTATTTTTAAAATAAAAAAGTTTACTAAATTGGTAACGTGCAATAATATAAACCCATATAATTCAATATCCACCATAACTCAAAACAAAAAATCAAAAAAATCAAAAATCCAATCTTACGTCTCGCAGTTCGAATTCTTGATTATTGACATTTTCAATACGGGAGCTCTCCTAATTGAGGTTTGCCTAAAAATCCACTAAATCAAAGTTGGAATCAAATAATTCAAACTACGCAATTATATAATCAAATTAGGTTTAGCTCAGGAAATTACCTGGGTCGGAATATTGCTTTCCAACAATGACCGGGGACGAGGAAACTTGCAGCAATTGCAGTCTAGGACGATTCGCGGTAACCGACGAGGCGACGTTCACGGTGGTTACTGGCGAACAACAGCTAGGGAAGTGGGATCGCGGATGCTGTTGAAGTTGGCAAGGCGTTGCCGTGGACGATTCAGATGCGGCTGTGCTGCTGTGGCGCGAAGAACAACATGGCCCGGCGAGGATTGAACAGCAACGTACGTTGAGATTGGCAGGACACAGCTGACGATATTGACAACGTCAAGACCTGCAAAGAAAAGGGTGACTTGCCGGTTTTTGCCGAGAAGTTAACAGGTGCATCGCTGGTTGTTTGCAGCAAGGACTCTCTGGGTAATCACCGTGGAGTATCGTTGAGAGACTGGATCGTGCTGGAGCTGCTTTGGAAGCGGTGAACTGATCTGGATGGCTCGGAAGCACACAGTAGTCACTGGACTCGTCGGGATTTGCCTGCTGGGCGCCGGGACTGTTGGACACTTGCTGGGTTCTCTGGGCGTCTTGCCGGAGGAGCTTGCTAGGAGGTCGACGGTGCTGCTTAGCAGCTAGGCTCAGTGGCGAGGATGAAGTGGCGTCGCTGAACTGGGTGCTACTGGAGTCGCTTAAACCTGCAAGGGAACTTGGCAAAAGGCACGGTGACTAGTTGGTCACGATGGCAGGACTCGCATGGGCACTTACGGACGTTGAGGGACGCTTCAAGAACCGGACGAGGCCACCAGAAAGTTTGGAAAAACACCGGGGGATGCAGGAAACTCGCTGGGTCCACTAATGCTGGTCCGGATAGTCGTGGGATCTGCAAGAATCTGCTGCGCTGCAGGAAGCTCGCCGGGATTGTTCGGACTTCACTTGCTGGTTGCCGAGTTTGAGTGTGTATACTCTTAATCAAACGCCAAGGATCCACGGAAGACCCAAGGCATAATACCATTTTTGCTTTGCAGAAAATCTCTCAAGTCATATGAACTTTGATCAGAAATTATTCTCTCTATTTTACCGATGGTCAAATGAATGGGCTGGATCTCGAAAATTCCAATGCAATCCACGACCGATTATTGAACTTCTCCATTTCAATTTTTGTCATTGTAGTTCACGAAGTTGGCTTCGAACCAAAATAATAAACCTAGGAATAAACATTCAACACGCGACGTTTGCCTAGTTCGGTAAATTTTACCGACATTCACAACAAGAGTAGAAAACCCCAACAAAAATTACAAGGACTCCATGTCTCTTATTATTATCTGGACAACAATTACATCGTTAAATCTTAACCTTCTCAAAATTCTCGAAGTGATCACTTTACCTCATGTAGAACTCCCAAAAAACTCTCTTAATGTGTTTCTAGTGGCTAACATCAGATGGCTAAATACAATGTAATTATGGAACAAGGAAGACATTCTTGCTGCAAAAGCTCGTTTATCATCGCGGTCCTAGATGTGGGTCGAGAGGCTCCGGTCGCTCCTTCGAACCCATTTATAACTCAGAAAAAGTCGATCATCTGAATCTGAAATCTCCAAACAAGGGTTCAGTTTTGCCTGCACATGTGACTTTTCATTCTACTGAATCCATATCCTCAACCGGATGGGGTCCTGTGGCTCCATACCCCATACATTGAACTGTCCTTTCTTTATGCAAGTGAAACTGTGTTTGGCCTCAATACTACAAACCAAGACACGGTTACCACATTTAGTAAACAAGGCAAAAGAGAAGGAAATTTCAATATACAAGTCATTGAATGGAAAAATATGTCGCATATAAGGAACGTCACTAAAATCATTGCGAATCCGGGAGAAAATTCTCAATAAATTCACGTAATAAATGATTAAATTGTCGTATTCTAGAATACGGAAGTCATTGACTAACTGTCGATAAAAAGCGGAGAAAATCGAGAACTTTTACCTTAAATGGAGAAGTGAAAAGATATATTTAAGCCTATCATGGATTCTATTGTACTCAACAAGAGTAGAAGAAGGAGAGAGGGTGGATAAAGCAGGAAAAATATCTAGCTCTTTTTCATTGTAGATCGTAAGATTTTGACTTCTTGCAAAGGTCAGTCGATTTCTCTCGTTCTGGCGTTTGATTTTATGAGTCCTGGACTGTGAATCATTGTTTATAGAGAAATTTGTGATTCTGTAGAATGATTCTAGAGTTCTGGAAGTAATTGCTCGGAAATTTAATGCAATTTTGACACGATCGTTTTCAATACAAGGGACGACGTTACGTACATGTGCTTGTGTAGGTGTTTTCCCTTTCGCCTTCTCTTCCAGGGCAATCTAGGGAGGGGGCACTTTTTATTTTGTTAGGTTATCGCCATTAGATTCAACGGAATTTTACCTAATGCTACAGACCGTCTTTGAAAAGGCTTTATCTCGTGGGACCATTTTGATTTCCGTTGGCGGCTGACACAAATGATGATTTGTGACCGGTTGTCATGTCACTGCACATTATTACATGGAATTATTCGGGCCTTTGAAAAAAATTGGCAGATGACGACTGTTGGATCTAGGTTCAAATTTAAGCCAAAAATGTAACGACGATAAGGCTCTTTCTCTCGATCTCATTGCCGCTCGTCGCCACTATCATTTTAAGTGATCTTTTCTTTTACCATCGTTATGATTTGGAATGTTAGCATTGACGATTTGATACCAATGGACGGCGGCGAGATTGAGAGACAGCTTTCTCATTTATGTTGTTCACTTAAACTTGAATCTAGATCCAACGGTTGTCGTTTAATAAATTATATCAAAGGCCAGAATGTTTTCATGTAATAATGTGCAATGACATGGCATAACAGATTGTAATTCACGTCAACGGCCAAATAGATTTTTTTTAATGATGTTTTGTTACATAAGGCTTAAGTGGATGCCGAAATTGTCTCAATGGAAAAATGTATGCTTCCTTGAAAGACATTTGAAATATCATGTTAGAAGTGTCTTGGAAGTTAACAATTATGTTATTTTTTTGAGAGGTCCGAATGGTCATGTTAATCTATATGGCCGTTTGTTTAGATGATCTCTTAAGCCTGAGTACTATGTATGGTTGATCTCTTATCTCTTTCAATGGTGGTAATCTATATGGCCGTTTGTTTGGATGCGTGAAACGTGGAATCATTATTTGTTCATGTGTGAATGAGGTAGCTTATCGTATTTCTTCAATCTTGAATTTATGCGGTATTTCACCTTTTCATTTTCTTGAATCAACATATTGTTATCAAGAAAAAGAAAAAGAAAAGAACTCCATGTTTAAGCTAGTTATAACATCACATAGGGCAAGAGAAGATTTCATGGAGTGTTGAGACTCGAGTACAATTTTATCATAGCAAAATGGACATGCTTTTCATTTCATCTTGAGGGAATGAGTTTATGTCTTAGCATATTGTCACATTGGCAATGAAAGATTGGAAACATTATGTGGACTTGTCTTTCAGGATGGGAAAGAGAAAGCGGAACGATATAGCATGGCAGTATTGCACTGTGGTTGACGACAACGTTGGGCGTGTCTGTTGCAATTTTTGTGGACATGTGATGTGGGGAGGCGTGACTCGCCTTAAGCAACATCTGGCGTGTATCGAAGGCAACGTGATCCCCTGCCAGTGCTGCCCTCCCGAAGTAAGGGCGCATATTCAGGAATATCTCAGTCAAAGCTCACAAAAGAACGAAGAAAACATTGACGGCGGTGGCAAGCAAGTGAATGACATGAGAGGTGGAGGAAATGAAGAGCAATTACGGCCAGAGCAAGAATATTCGCATAAGTTTGTCAGTGAGATTGAAGAAAATCTTCCCGACTGCTTGCAAAAGAACGAAGCAAACATAGACGGTGTTAATGAGCAAGTGAATGACATGGGAGGAGAAGGAAATGACGAGCAATTACAGCCGAAGCAGGAATGGTGGCAAAAGAGTGTCGGTGATGATATGTTCGCATATTTGTGTGAAGCAGCATTCGATTATGGTTGGGAAGCGAGAAATCTAGAGTATGAGATGGAATTGAAACGAAAGAGTCAAGAGTATGAGCGTGCAGTGGACGCTGTGCAACGTGAAAGCGAGCTTACTTTCTGGGACGACCTAATCCGGCGTGGCGAAGGTTGTAGCGGAACGAAACCTGTGCCATCTTACCAAGAGTATGGCATGACCGGTAATGATTCAGTTAATAATAGTGAGCTGGGTTCTAAGCCCTGATCCATGCGTGCCTTAAAAGAGAGAACCATCAAGTTAGGTCTCTTTTGTTTCTTTTAGACAATAATAGCTTAGCCAACTTTGGGATGCTTTGCGCCGATGCAATTGAATTTGGGACAAAGTGAATGTGTTTGTCATAATTTTGGGGGAAAATTACCAAAAAAGTCCTAAACCTATTGCAATTGTGCCAAATCAGTCCTAAACCTTTTTTTTTTGGCCAAATCAGTCCTAAACCTTTTGTAATTGTGTCAATTCAGTCCATCCAGCCATTTATAACCGGAAAAGTCTGATGTGGCATCCTAATCAGCACCGGCGGCGTCCCGGAGCTGACGTGGCCGCCGGAGAACTTTAAAAAAAATAGAAAACTTAAAGAAATGGTCGGCCATGGCTGGAGTTCCCAAATTGGCTGGATTTCGTTTCCAAAATGAGCTAGGGAACCCTAAATCGAAATCTTCACAAATCGATCTCAAATTTGGGCCCCAAATCTGAGTTGACGCTCGGCTGACGCCTTCGTCCGACGCTCACCTGTTGCCTTCGCCGGACGCTTGCTCGAGGCTTTGCCCAGATTCGCTCGCTCGACGCCTTCGTCCGACGCTAGGCCGACGCCTTTGTCCGACGCTCACCCCTGCCTTCGCCAGATGCTCACTCGAGGCTTTGCCCAGATTCGCTTGATCGACGCTTGACCAAACCCGTCGTCCAGCACCTGACACTCGTTCTACGCTTGCTCAACGCCTTCGCCGTCTTGTTTCTCGAGATTGTGGTATTTTTTATTTACGACGAGGCTTCATTGATTTCGCTGGGTGTTATTTCTTGGGTTGGATGTGGATGGTCACAGGTCTTTAGATTTCGTTGACATGGGTTTGTCGCTATCATGGGTTTGTGGTTGTTGAACTGGTTTGTTTGAAATTGCTGGGAAAATTGCTAACATAACATGGGTTTGTGGATGGTCACAGCTTGTTTGAAATTGTTGACTCGCCCAGAATGTCTCTGTCTTTCATTGATAGTGATGGTGCATACAAAAAAGAGAGAAAATGTCTTTCATGAATGACTCTATCTTTCATTGATGGTCACAGCTCGTTTGAACTGAATGTCTTTGTCTTTCATTGGCACTATCTTATATTGGCTAAGAGGCATCAAAATGCTATTATGTAGTTATAGCTTATACTGATATAACAGCAGTCTAACTCTGCATCTGTACTTCTTACACTGTAGGACAACCTAAAGATATCAACTAATCATTTGATTATTGCATGGTGATTTATACTCTGTTGGTGCTTGTTTCTGATCAAATTAATTTATACATCCTTTTGTAGAACCTTGGGCAAGACTGATCCAACTAGTTCATCAGAGAGAGAATTTCTCGCATATAGTTGCTGCCTCTGGTTCATTTGGGAAGAATATCCTCCCTGGAGCTGCTACCCTCTTAGATGTCTCTCCAGGAATTTCATAATCAATAAAGTTTGTTACGTACAATGGAGTTCCTGACCTATTTAAAAAAGATTCATCTTCTAGTGTGCAATTTGGTTGATGACCATGAGTTTATGAAAACATAATAGGCATCAGTTGCTTGTTGAACTTTGACAGTGACACATCATTCACTATATCACATTTTTTTCACATTTTTTCTTATAAGATCCAAGATAAAGATGATGGGTTACTGCCGGTGTTTTGCCTCAGCTAAACTAGACTTCACTCTAATATTGTCTTATTTCTTTATACTGTGCTCACCATTGTATATAGGAATAAGATAGCATGTTGACTCTATTGCTGTCTTATTTATTCTGGAAATGTATTGTGTACAGTCCGATATACTGGTGCTCACCCTTGTATGTTGACCATCAAATCCACATCTTTTCAGGTGTAATCTGATTCCATAGATTCAAAGGCTCACAAGGCTCCTGTGTTTGACAATCAATGAAGACATCATCGAATTCGTCACAATCGATGACATCAGTCCCTCTAATCAACAACGATACATATGCGTTTTGCTATTGTGGTCTGAAATGTCCTTTGCAAATAGCAAAGACGAAGGAGAATCAAGGAAGAAGATATCACGGTTGCCCAAAATATAAAATTGGGGAAAGTTGTGGTTTTTTTAGTTGGGTTGATGCTGAAATTAGTCAATCGGCAAGAAGTGCGTCAAAATATATGCATTGGAGCAATGTCGAAGAAAAACCAATATCGAGCCATAATGTGGATGATGGCAATTCAATGGACGCTATGGACGTTGAAGTCAAAGCTCTCAAGAGACAACTGAAATGCATCAAACAAGATGCAACAAAGTTAAAGAAACAAATTTCGACATTGAAGACAATGTTGGTTGTGTCGTGGCTGTTTTTTGTAATTCTAGGAAGCATGTTATTTAAAAATTTGAAGATGAATGATGTAATGAGCTTACCATAAGATCTGTTAACATCGATTATGTTATGTAAGCTGTTTTAGTAGATGTTTTGTATCGATCCACATGGAGTATGAACATGAATGAAATGCAAGTTGTTTTGTTTGCAATCTCCTTTGTTCCATATGCAATCTGTTTCTCAACCACAACATGAGAGACATATAATTTCTGCTGTTTTGACCTGCTATTATGAATAAAGAAGTACTTGTCCAGTGAGTATAAAAGAGCAAACGATAGTATGCACAATTTCACTACTTCATGAACAAACAACTACAATACAGTAATCAAGCAAATGACAAATGCACAAACCCATTTCATTGCAATAAAAACACGGTTCACAAGCATAGTACTTCACCAATCCCATCTGCTATAAAAATAGCCATCAAAAAAGTACATACACAACCCTGTTTCACTAATTCCATCATCGATAAAAAAGAACAAATGAATCAATACCACTTCACTCAACCCATTATCACAAAAATACGACCATAACATGTCAAAACTAAACCCACCCCCACAACTGCCACCCCCACGTCTCATCGCTTTTGCTTCTTCGAGCTACTTCTAGCACTTGTACTCTTAACTTGAGCAAGAGGATTCACACTAGTATGGCCACCACCACTACCACTTGCACCTTTACTAGTACGTCTTTGAACCTGCAAAAAGTATATTTGTTTAAAGTCATATTGACAAAGCAAGCATGACATAATAGAAACGGAATTACTAACCAAAATTTTTTGCCTTGAAAATTGTGTTTGCGAAGATGTAGAGCCAATCTTCTTAATTGGACATGTTGAACTGTTGTGTCCCATCTTCGAGCAAGTTCGACATGTCATCTTCATTCCTATCCTTGACATCCTAGTTCCACTTGCCACCTCATCTTCCTCCCTTGATCTTTTCTGTTTACGTCTACCAGGCTTCACCCTAGCTGGAAGTGGTTCAGGTGGTTCCCCATTAGTCTTTTTCCAAAATTTCTCTCCCCGAATCGGCATCATCATGTTCTCATATGCAGCTAAGAACTTGGCCTTCTTATAGCACTCATCAACATGGTCATATGCATCTTCTTGTCTATGATTTATAGCAGAAATAGCATGGGGACAAGGAATGCTAGTAAGCTGCCATCTTCTACAAGAGCAGTCTCTCTTGAATACATCCACCACATACTTTTCACCCTTATCCATCACCTTGTATCCGGTATCACCATTCCATATCACTTGGCAATACGTTGCACCAACTCTATTTTCTTCTAACTTTCTTACGATTCTTGGACCACAGTCCCTTCTCCACTTAGCACATGCATCCCTCTGTGTATGCATTCTTGTCATTATCATTATCCGCATGTCCTATAACATACTGTAAATGGACTTACACCTAGCATGTATAATTCTTCCATTGAATGCCTCACATAAGTTGTTATCAACAATGTCACATTTCACATCAGTGGTGAAGAAAGCCCTACACCAGTGCTTTGGCTCTGTTTGCACCAAGTCATGATATGTAGCAGGACTAATTTTCTTCAATGCTTGAGAGTGTTCATCATACTCTATCATAATACTGCTCTTAGCACACTGCCAAAACAATCTTTGCATCTGTATCCCCTTATACTTCTTGCCCCAATTGGCATAGATATGTCTAGCACACATCCTATGCTCAACTGAAGGTAGCAAATCAGCCACAGCTCCTAAAAGGCCCTACAAAAGATTATTGCAATGTAAAACATATGTTACAAGTCTGACTATCTAATAGGCATAACAAATAAAAAATTAAATAAGGAACTTACTTTTTGTTTGTCACTAATTACAACCCAACCCCGTCCATATGTGTGGAAAATGTTGAGATCATACATTAAATTTGTTAGGAACCACGTCCAAGTGTCTCTGCTCTCAACTCTGACAATCGCCCAAGCAATTGGGAACATTTGATCATTTGCATCCCTTCCAATAGCACACAAGATCTGGCCTTGGCAAATTCCTTTCAAGAAGCAACCATCTAATCCCACAACTTTCCTACACCCACCAAGGAATCCTTTCTTACAAGCAGCAAAACAAATGTACATTCTCTCAAACAATGGCTTAGATTGCATATCCGGCTTTTCAACTTTCAATGTAATATTACTCCCAGGATTTCTCTCCCTAAGCTCCTCCGCATAATCCCATAGTTTTGCATATTCCTTCTTATAGTTTCCCATCAACACTTTATAAGCAAACAACTTAGCCTTCGTACACTGGACTATACTTACATCTAAGCCCAACTGTTCCTTGATTAGCTCCTTAAAAGCAATAGTTTTAATAGTTGGCATTGCTTTTATCTTAGGAAGATAGTGATTTGCCAACCAAGAACTTGTCACCCTTCTATTTTTGAAGCTAATGCTACATGTATGCTCTGAATGGTAGGTCTTCACATGAAATGATTCACTACGAGCATCAACGGATCCAGAAATCTTCCAAGGACAACTTTTATTAACACATTTTGCTCTAACAAACTTCTTATCAATCTTTATAAATTTTATCTCCCTACGCTCAGCTATCGAGTACTTTTTCAGAGCATCTTTGAATTGCTTACTGCTATCAAATGTCATAGCCACGATAAACACGGGCACTACACAATTTGGATCATATCTTGGAAACCGACTTCTCCTTCTAGTAAAATCGCCATCTTCTCCCTCTACGTCAGATCCCAAACTGTCATTTGCATCTGTTTCATAGTATTCCATTTCATAACCAGTTTGAGTATCAACAACACTGTCCACATCCAATGGTTGGGATGGTACCAATGTTGTGGATGGTTCTCCTATAATTAGATCCTTTGTGGCCTTCCCACAGAACTTGGTCATGTTCTTTCTTGCTTCTAAAAGCTCCTCATTATCAAAATCATCATCATCCGTCGAGAATCTTACATCACCAAGAAAATCTGTCTCATCGTCATCGTCATCATCCATATTATCACCCTCTATGCCAATATGATCACCTTCATCAATTGGGTCATCAGGATCTAAACCACCCATGTGCTGAACAACTGTCTCATTAGCTAAACCAACATCATCATGAGCACCTTCTCCGACCGCTTGACCAACACCCTTACTCAGACCAGCACCCTCACCCTCACCTACACCCTCACCGACCCCCTTACTCCGACTAACACCCTCACCCACGCCCACACCGACACCCTGACCAACATCCTCACTCGAACCAACACCTTCACCCACATTGACATCCTGATTGTCACCCTCAGATGCCTCATCGGCTGCAAAATTTTCTCCATATATCTCAATTATCCCATGATCCAAATAACTGAAAAGTAGATCGACAACACTACTCTCATTCCATATATATCTCAATCCATCTTCTAGAGATTTTCCAGGAAACTTAAAATAAAGCTTTTCAAATGTATTATTTACCCCATTCTTGATGTCCCTGATAAAGCTTTCATAGCTCCTTGAAGTGATATCAACCTTTACTAAATCAATCTTCCCCCCTACATATTCAAGCATTGGGCGACGATAAAAATTTCCACCATGGAAAATGCAAACCCATGCTGACTTGTCGTTCATCTTCACCCTACACAAAAAAAACATATTGTATGTTGTAAGCAGCCACATAATGGAGATTTTAATTTGAGCAACCTAGAGTGCTACCAATATGTGAAGATTTTGACTTTAAGCAGCCTAGAGTGCTACCAATATGTATATATAAACAGAATTGCTCTCTAATTTACAAAATTTTAACTAGGTCATTCTACTAACTAATTTTTTGCAAGTATGAATGGTCCTCTCTAATTTACGAGAATTTAACTATGTTAGTCTACTAACTAAAATTTAATCCCTTTGATCCAAGAGTTCAAGGTGAATAATCAGTTTGCTCAGCACAGTCAGTTTGCTTTCAAGTTTGCCAATCATGGGGAAGGATAAAAAATTATCCCACACGCATCTACTTTCAGTTTCAAACTGAACTGTAATAAGGCAAATGGATTATAAAAGAAGACAAGGGTAAGACACTATTTTGGGACCACGACAATATACCTTTTGACCGTTCTTCGTTGAGGTCGGGACCACCACGTAGATTTGTCGTGTTCGCTCAACACTTTCCGACAACACAATCAAAACGGGACCACTTCACTTGCTCGTGCTTGCTGCGAATGGACAAATCGGGCCTGGTCGTGGGCGAATCGATCGGGTCTAGTCCTGGGCAAATCGGTCGGGTCTGGTCGTGGGCGAATCGGGCCTTCGTGATTTGGAGGGTCGGACAAAGGTGTCGACCTAGCGTCGGACGAGCATCGAACGAAGGCGTCGAGCGAGCGAATCTGGGCAAAGCCTCGAGCGATCGTCAGGCGAAGGCAACAGGTGAGCGTCGAACGAAGGCGTCGGCTGAGTGTCAACTCAGATTTGGGGTCCAAATTTGAGATCGATTTGGGGAAGATTTCAATTTAGGGTTCCCTAACTCATTTTGGAAACGAAATCCAGCCAATTTGGGAACTCCAGCCATGCCCAACCATTTCTTTAAGTTTTCTATTTTTTTAAAGTTCTCCGGCGGCCACGTCAGCTCCGGCGACACCGCCGGTGCTGATTAGGATGCCACATCATACTTTTCCGGTTATAAATGGCCGGATGGACTGAATTGGTATAATTGCAAAAGGTTTAGGACTGATTTGGCCAAAAAAAAAGGTTTATGATTGATTTGGCACAATTGCAATAGGTTTAGGACTTTTTTGGTAATTTTTCCTAATTTTGGTGGTGATGTAGTATGCTTGAGTTAACATCCACATGGTGGTATGGTTTAGCTCATTGTTTTGAGATTTTGCTATGCAATTTACTGATACCAGAATGATATTGAAATACTTACGTACATTATTTGCTCTGATGCGACTTCTCTGTAATTTGGTGCTTGTTAGGGGACAACCAAGATTTTTTTTAGAGGTTTTTAAGTGCTAAGAGAGTACAAAATTTTCATCCACCCGAGTCAATAACCATCTAGTGTCAAGTTCATGAATTTTGTTATATGATGATTGACTTAGGTGGACAGTGATGATGTATTTCCGGAGTGGTAAATACTTCTCCAGTGTTTCAAAATACTGAACAAGTGTGGATCATATTCGATGTGATGTTGAATTATGAAGTTGGTTGGAGGCATCTTTGAATCCATCTTGTATCTTTGAATGTAGTCATCTCACTGAGTAAATCAAGCAGGCTCCACAAGATCGAATGATACGGATGTGCCTGAGACATGCACCCCACGGTCCGTGATAACTTCTTGTCCTAGAGAACGGTCACGATTTATACATGAAAGAATTTTTCATAATGACTGAGAATTGCTAATGGGACCCAAAAGCATTTGATGCCTCTTAGGTCCACGGGATAAATGGGATTTTTCACGGGCTCGAGATTTATCTACTTAAGGTATCTTCACAATCATACTAACAATAGAAAAAATCGCCCGACTAACTAACGAGGCAATGAAATGATCGTGTGACCATTCCATACATTTCATGACGATTATAGGGAGAGGATAAAAGTATTATGACCATGACAAATAGGGAGAGAATAGATGATGCTAATGAAGGCAAATGGCAAGGCAAGAATTACAACAATACTTCTTTTCACACATTGGGAAAAGAACAAATCGAACGGTCGTGTTCTTTGGCAAGAACAACAACGATCATCGGATCCTAATGTCCTGGCATTACCAAGATCAGGAAATATAAACCACTACATAAACATGTGTATGTATACATGATTAAATATACCAGACCAGCCAAACTTTCCCTTGGCATGGAAGGAAACAATTGTCAAATGCCTCTCCTATTATTGCCAAACCTTGGGTTGTAAGGTTCTGGCATCTTTTGCACCTCTATTGCACTAAAAATCCCATATGCGTCACTTTCATCAGCATCCCCCCTTTGATGTTGAACGTCGTCGTTGTCGTCATCATCGTCATCGCTGGTTTGATCTTGTGCCATCAGGTCCTCGCCATACTTGACGCTCTCCATCCTCGTCTGCATCGCTTTGGCCTTGGGCTCTTGGCCCTTCAAGATGCTCACCACATCCTTCATGGTGGGCCTCCTGTCGCCCTCGCTCTGCACGCACAGCGCTGCCACGTTGATCGCCTGCTTCAGCTGGGCCTCATCGAAGTTCCCTCGGAGCTTCGGGTCCGCGAGGTCCCGGAACCTCCCCTTCACGATGTACGGCTCCGCCCACTCGGTGATCGTCCTCTTGATTCCCCCCGGGAGCTTCTCGATGGGTTTCCTCCCCGTGACGATCTCGAGGAGGAGGATTCCGAAGCTGTACACGTCGCAGCTCTCTGAGACCTTCCCCCACATGGCATACTCGGGCGCCAGGTACCCCAGAGTGCCCTTGACGCGAGTGGTCATGTGGCTCACGCCCTCCGGGATGAGCTTCGCGAAGCCAAAATCGGCTACAAGCGGTTCGAAGTTCGAGTCTAGAAGTACATTGCTTGCCTTTATGTCCCTGTGGATTATGTGAGGCGTTACCTCATGATGCAAGTACCTGCAGAAGAATATTCAATCACAGGGTATGTAAGATATCACAGACCAATTGATGCCCTTAGCTAGGCAAGCAATTCAGGGGAATGCTTGGGATCTTCTCAAGGAATAATCGATCCGCCAAAAAAAAAATAATATTAATAAAGATATAGCAATTACTTGTTACTAAGGAACTAGACAAGTCAATAAAAATGCCTGCAGTCAATAAGAAAAGAGAAGCTGTTCTGTAAACTCTTGTAAACTACATCAATGGCATATCAAGACATAAATGAGATTCAGAGTCCCAAAAGTACAAATTCTCGTACAGTTTGTGCACTGTGATTGGCTCTGTTCATCATGTCATCCACGGACGATGTCTCCTCAATATTTTTCCCTAAAAGAGACTACTCTAAAGAAAAGGGCATTCAACAGTGTCTTATATATATTATCCATTTAGAATATACTCACGAATACCATTTCTCAGGATCACCTTGTAAGTTTGAAAGGTTCTTCGGTTAACACTGTCTAATAAATCATTTTTTTTTTTTGGTTTTCAATCAATTTATTTGTTTTACGATATCCTATTTATAGAATAGAAATCAAACAGAAACTAATCAATTTAGAGAAAAGAAGAAGGCAAAGGCGACTGATGCTTACACCAAGCCTTCGGCCGACCCGATTGCAATCTTCATCCTCCTTTTCCAGTCCAACTGAGCGTCGGTCGCGAATTGGCCGTGCAAGTGAGAGAGCAGACTCAGATTTGGCATGTAATCGTACACGATCATCCGCTGATCCGTCCCAACGCAGTACCCTCGCAGGCCCAACAAGTTCTTGTGACGGACTCTGCCGAGGACCTCAACCTCCACTGCAAATTCCATCTCGGCCTTCAAGTTCATCGCCTTCAACTTCTTCACAGCTATCTAGAACCAACAGTCGCATCGACATTGCTCAGCTTCCACCATGATGTCAAGAAATACGATCTATACACAATACGCGCTGGAGAAACAATTGAAACAACTGGTTGTCTAACATGGTATCGGAGTTTAGGCGAAACTCAAATTCTAACATCAGTCATTACTATTTTGCTCAAGTTTTCTAAAAGAACAAATGGTTGTCTAGCATGATTAGTCGAATTGAGGGAAGTTCGATAAAGAGTGAGATCAAACTGGACAAGAAAATACTTGTCTGCACTTATTGTACACCAGGTTCTGTTTATCGCGTTAAAGGCATGAAAAACGAGTCTACACAACAAAATCATCTAGGGTTCTAAGTAAAGGGAAATTAATCAATTCACCTGAAGGCCATCGGAAGTTTTGCCCCAGTAGACACTCCCAAACCCTCCCTCTCCAAGCTTGTTGTCATCACTGAAACCATTAGTGGCCGTATGCAGCTCCTTGTATGTGAATATCCTCCATGAATTATTGCCTCCACCTATTCCACTGAACCTAACAATTCACCAAACAAGAAAATAAAAATACTGAACGGAACATAAGAGCTATAAACATGGTTGATAAAGTTAGATGAAGGAATTGATCAAAGACTTGGATCTGAGCTCACCCTTCGTCGACCTTCTCTGAACCACAGCAACTGAGAGATGATCCCATAGCTTCTCCCTATGGGATTTACGAAGTTTGAGCTTATTTAGAGCCTTTTTTATTTGTCAATGGAGTTTCTTCTTTTAAACTGGGCTGTTGGCCTCTGTCGTTTTCACGCTAAATGCCAGCCGACCCCGGCCGGCTTTCTTTTAGGGTTTTTTGGTTTCTTTTCTTTATATGAGTAAGAGCTTATCATGTTTCATATTCATTTCTATCATTACTTATTTCTTTTCCAACGGTTATTACCAAGAACCAGAATATTTTATGAATCTCCAATGTCAAAGTTTGACACTCCACTCCATGATGTGCACAGTGATGAACTCGATACAGTCCAAGAAAGAAACCAAGTTAAACATGCATGGAACCATCCGCCTAGTGCGTTTTAAACATCTCCCCCATAGATAAAATTATTGTGTTTTCTTTTCCTTGATTTCACACCAGCTGTCAATGTTCTACACACGATCCGCCAGTGGTTTTTGTGATCGTCTTGAATGATAGGGGATTGATAAGAGCGTTTACAAAAGAAATTGTCGCTGAGTGTTAGATTGGCATCATATGAACTTTGCTTAATAGGGATGGGTGTTACGTTGTGCCTTCTACAGTCCGATCTCTCTCTGTCTAAGCAATCACTCTCCGTTCTCGTTAGAAGGTCCTGTTGTAATGTAATCTGTAGCAACCTCACTCGTTTCACGGGATCCAAACTCTCAAAAAATAATAATAATAATAATACATCGAGTGACCATTCTGGGTGGTGACTACTTGTGGTGGTTCTTGCTTATTAATCACTTAGTAGGGCCTCTCCCCACTAATGCGGGATTTTAATATATTACAAAGGAATTCAAGAATCATTCCAAAACAAAAAAGAAAATCTCTCCACTGCAGAACTAATCATAGTTGTTATTGAATCGGCAAGGTGTGCCAATTGGCATCATTATTTTTTCTTTATAAAATAGGATGTCCGAAATATTTGACTTGTCTAATCCAAATGGATGCATATAAATCCTCTAGTCCATGGACGTTCTGGTCCATAAGGTGGCTCATGTTACTCCGAAATTACTATGAGCTAGAGACATCATTATTTGAATATAGAATCTAAAGTATCTTTCAGTAAGTGCTTGACTGCTCAACCAATTACCGGCTAGTATTATCAAGAAGACGGCACTTCAAATTTATGGCACTAAAGTTTCATTAGAAGTTTTAAACCTTTTGTTCGGAATTAGTCCAGTCTTAAACCATTTATCTGATGCAACTGATTTGTAGATCTATTCAAAAAGAGCAACGAGTCATTATGTTAAAACCAACTAAGTGGTTGGTCGAAAGGTCCAAGACTTGATTTGCAAGCCAAAGGTCACAAGTTCTATTCCCCAATTTATTCTCAATCTTAAGAAACCTTGGTTAGTCTACAAAAGATGAGTCTAAGCTTAGGTGTATCCCTCAATCTTGAGCTTCCCTACTCGGACCTGGTGGGCCTATGATGACAGGCTCGCCAGGTAGGCAATTAGTGCTTCATTGGCGTCTTAAACTAAATGTTCCGGTAGCGGATGAGGTAACTCCTAATCCTGTCCAATCTCTTTGTACCATACAAAAGTCATTCCGTCAGAATCTGCCTATATTGCGACCAGAAAATTGCCTCCAAGACAGATTCATACGTTACCATTTACTGGAAAATCAAAGAAGTAACAATCGAAAGATTTGATTGCACTTTTTTTAAAGAAAAAGTTTAGGAATTAGCTAAATTAATTGAAAACTCTTACACTCGATTGCGCTTCCTACACAATCACTTAAGACTTTTGTTCTACTTTTTCCCAAATTCAAACCTTTCTTACCATAAAATCACGAACACATTAGACAGGAATTGAAGTTAAACCTATTCCTATATCAAGCATTGGCCTTATCGGCAATAAGTCAAAATTACATACATATAAACTACTTTTAACTCCTACTCTTATATATGACGTTAATCTTGTCCATTCCCTCTCTCCGCGAAGCTCAAGAATGGAAGCCATTGGCAATGTTGACTTCAAAATGAGCAAACAAAAGGTAAAAAGAATGAAAATAAGATAGTTTATATTAGGCGCCAACTTGGTTAGTTTACTTAAATTTTCCAAATTAAATACAACACAAAAGCAACGTTTCAACATGAATTACTCAATTCTTATTGGCCAACCACCTTGCGTTTGAATCTTGAATGGTCAAAGGCTTCTCCAAGTGCTGACGATCGAGTAGGTGAACAGGGAAGATCAGAGAACAGTGCATTAGACTTGTGTAAACACACCACACAAAGCCATATGGACGCATTGCAAGCCCATAATGGACTTCTTTGGGTCAATACGAGAATATGCAAAAGTGGTCCGTCCGTCCAAATGCAAAACGACAACTTCAAAAGTCAGATCTCAAACACAGGCTTGCGTGTTTTAAAAAATGTAAGTTGTCTTTCTAATTTCCAAAATTTGGGAGGGCTTGTAATAAATAAGCAGCAGAAGCTAGAGGTAATCAAGGGATGAGTCCGACTAAGCTTAGGTCTGTAGGTCGGGCCTAATGTGTTGCGCAACCTAGCCCATCATATTAATTTCATGCAATGAACTTTCGGTTGGGGCTGAACCAGGCCTAGGTCAAAGAATAGCGGGCCGGGCTTTCTCGTGTAAGCACATTGCTTGTGACATTCCGAAATTCCACCAATTGGAATTTATTGAATAATTGAGTTTTATGAGATGTGCTCGCAGTAAATTCTCACCCGGAACTGATCATTCCTAGGAATGCTAACCATTAGGGAAAGGCTAATAGGGGAATTAAATTGGCGCGACTAGAGAAAATTCGATCGTGAATGGATTTCGACCATTAAATCGCGGAAGTGATATTTTGAGCCACTGTTGGCCGATCCAAGGATAGTTAGGGGTCAGTTCGTCATCGTCCTAGTAGTGGATCGCGGGTGATTCCGTTGGACCACGAAGCGACTTGACGAATGATTCCGAAATTATACCGAACGATCGTACCCCTCGGATCAAGTGATTGATCTTTGCGATTTTAATGACAACCGAGGTCGTCACGTACCGAACAGACTTGCACGTGACTCGATTTAGTATCAGTCATGAGTCGATTTCACGAATTTTCTCGGCAAGCCGCCCGTTAGCTCGAGAAATGCTCGAGTTGCGTTTAATAGAATTTAATTATTGAAATTTTGCCCAAATTGGACACCGGAAAATTAGGAAGTCACGACGGAACGCCAGGACGACGTTGCACGTGACACGTGTAAATTTTTGGTGCGCTTAAATCCTTCGGAAAAATTCGATTTGGGCAAGAAACGGAGAATTGGACCATTTTACCCTTGAGTATTAAAGAAAGGGTAGTTTTAGGAGCAAGGGGCATTTTGGTCATTTGTGCCCTAGATATTTTGGGTCAAAGCTACTATTCGTGTCTAGACCATTCTAGACCATTCTTCTCTCTCTCTCTTCTCTCCCCTCATTTCTTCTCTCCCCCCCCTCCACCGTGAGACCTCTCCCCCTCCACCGATCACTCTCCCTCTCCCTCCGCCGTTCACCGCCGCGCCCCAAGCCGCCATCCGTACGTCCGCCGGACCGCCGCTGCGCCCAAGCCGCCGTCCTCACCGCCTCATCCCCACCCAACCGTGACACTCTCTCTCTCTCTTTCCATCTCTGGCCGTGGGCCCTCTTAGCCGCCGTGGACACCGCCGCTCGCCGATCGTCGCCGATTGTCGCCACCGCCGCAAGCCTTCGTCGGATTTCAAGTTTTACCGCCGCTTTTGTTCTAGCCGAGAGAGTCTAGAACGAGGTAAGTTGTGATCTAAACCCTCGCCTAGTAGATCGGGTTGTTTCGGGTTTAGATAGACGCGGGTTGTTGTGATTTTGCGGGCTAAGTTGAATTACGGGCCCTAGGTTTGAATTTCGAGGATTTTAGTGGAAAATTTGGGGCCGATCAATGCTGTGAATTGGGGTTTAGTGTGCTGTGGTGTGCTATTGGGTACGAGAATGGTCCCGTTGAGTCCGGCTCGGAGTTTTATGTAAGTATCGTGAAGAGTCGGAAGTGTGATTTTATGGTTCGAGTGCAGAAATTACTGTTCACGAGCTGTGGGTGTACTGTACACTGTGCTGTGGTGAGTCGTTTGACGCGTAATTGGTGCCGTTAGGTCCATCTTGGAATTTTATGAAAATCCCGTGAAGTGCTGAAAATGATTTGAAAACATTTGAACAAAGAAAAATATTGTTTTACGTGAGAATGTGTTTTTGTGTGAAAATGGTGATGTGGTGAAGTGTGGGGTGCAAGTGTGCACGGAATTTGAGGCAATGGCATGAGAAAGTGAGTTGGGATCGGGCCGAGTATCATAAGCTCGGGCAACGATCATGTAGGTCTGTTGCATTTGGCACGGGCTGAGGCTCGAAAGAGCATGATTGAGTTCGGTCCGAGGCACGATCAGCTCGGGTGAGACCGGGATTGGACCGAGGCATTATAAGCTCGGGTTCCGATCATGTAGGCCTGTCGCATTTGGTGCGGGCTGAGTGTTGGTCGCAGTGTACCTGAGGCGTGTACGTTTACGCAGGTCACTGGCGAGTGATGTGGGAAGTAATGAGTGGTCGCAGTGTACCCGAGGCGTGTACGTTTACGCGGGTCATCAGCAGTATTATGGGAAAGAAGAATTGAGAATGGAAAGAATGAGAAAGTGGAGGTGGAATGGGCGTATGTTGAGTGGATCGAAATCGTGTTATGTTCGTTGGGTGAGTGATTTGTGGAAAATTTGTATGTTGTGTCTTGTGTTTTCAAAATAAATTTTTATAAGTGGACTATTGTGCAGGCTGCGTGTGTCGAGAGTCCAGGTATGTGTATTCGTGTGTTTTGTGGTGGTTTGTTTGGTCATGTGCTTATCTATGTCTGGAATAACGTGATAGCTTAGGTAGGGTTTAGGTTACAACTTATTGAGAAGTGTCTCATGGTTGTATAAACCAAACCATTTCAGATCCCCGGCCTGAGCGATGAATATTCCGCCGCCGCCACCAGAACGTTTCGGAGCCCTCAGTAGATGGGACGATACAAGGGGATTCCGACTCAGAGGACAAAGAATCGGATTCAGAATGGACGCCTAGTAAGGGGCGTAGGGAGTAATATCCGGATATGGAATAGGTTTTTGCGAGTACCATTTTTGGATGGAAAGTTGACCAGGTCATAGGCCCTTTTTGTTACTGACTGTAGTGGTGTGGCGGGTACTTGTATTTATGGTGGCTTGTACGTGTTGGGGTGGCTTTGTAATTGTAAATATTTTGGTATAAGTTTGGAAATGAGATATGGATATGTATATTCTCCCTTAATGCCTCCCCAATTTTTATATTGTCCGGGATTAATTGTAATATCCGCTGTGGTTGTAAATCTCTGATGATTATTTGAGGTCGGCGACATTCCTGGGACGTCGCACTCATCGACCAGGTAAGGGGCGTCACGTGCCCATTGGGGTTCGGGGCGTGACATCCCCGTTTGAATTGGTATCAAAGCAAGGTCAGCTCGATCTAAGATTGGTCGAATTGGAGTGATAAGGAACAGAGATTTTGGGGTAGGAATTGAGAGAGACTTTAGTGAGCCATAGATATACCTAGTGCTACACGTATTCCAGACTATCTTTTATGATTGATTGCTTGAATTGAATGTTGTGTTGAGTTGAGTACCTGCTGAGTGGATTACTGCGTTAATTCACTGTTTAGAACTAGATTGATCTAGTTGGTTTAGATCGCTAATTCCTGAGTGGAATTACGACAGGTAGTAGAGTGGTAGAATTGAGACGATGAGCAGTGAAGGAAGAGGCGTAGGAAGAGTCCCAAGAAGGGGCGCAGGAAGAGGAACGAGAGGTCGAGGTCGTGCTCGAGCTAGGACTGTCGAGGACCTCGGAATGGGTGCTAGAGCAGTAGAGAATCCTAGAGTGGATATTGGTGCTGCAGTGGACCCTAGAGTGGAAGTTAGACCCGTTGAGGATCCTCGAATGGAAGTCATTATGAGGACGTTGGAACGAATTGGAAATTTGTTAGAACAACAGACTTAGGAAAGAGCTGCTCTGATTGCCCAAGTTGCCGAGGCCGCTATTGTTGCTAATAATGATGAGCATCAAGGGCAGGGACAAGTGGTTGCTAATAGACCTATGCATCAGTTGGTAGAACAGTTTATTAAGCTGAAACCACCCAAGTTTTCAGGGAAAGGTGACCCGGAGGCTGCACCTAGATGGGTAGAGGAACTGGAGAAGGCTTTTGAGGTGATGGAGTGTAACGATCACGAAAGGGTGACTTTGGCAGTGTATCAGCTACAGGATAATGCGAATGATTGGTGGAAAGCCACCAAGGATAGGATTTTTCCTGAAGGTACTGCCAAAACTTGGGCTGTTTTTACTGAAAAATTTTATGAGAAATATTTTTCAGCTAGTGCTAGAGAAAGAAAACTCGCGGATTTTATGAGACTCCACCAGGGCCAGATGACGGTAGATCAGTATGAGGCGGAATTCGCGAGATTATCTAAGTTCGCGCCGAGAATGGTGGAACATCCTGAGGATAAGGCGCGAAGATTTCTAGATGGATTGAGGGCTGATATCCGCAGCCAATTGTTATTAGTAAACTTGGGAACGTACGAGCAGATATTTGATAGGGCCCAGATTCTTGAGTGAGATCAAATGGATAGAGCCGCTGCATCTGGATCGAGGTTTATCCAGGGTTGGAATAATCGTAATCCTGAGAAGAGGCCGATGGTGGATAATAGGCGTTTCACTCCACTAGCAAAAAGGAATATTGAAAAGCCAATTCGGATTGGGAATGGTCCGTGTAGGATTTGTGGAGGTAGACACGGGAATGGACCTTGTCCAACTAGGGGTGGAGCTTGCTTTGGATGTGGAGGATTTGGGTATCATATAAAGAATTGTCCCAATCCCAGGCAGAATAGGTCGCTTGCTTTGCCGCCACCTCGGAATGAGAATCAAGCTGGAGCGGCCCAGACAGCGAATTTGAATCAGAATAGGCCTCCAGCGCAAGGACGAGTGTATGCGATGGCTAGACGAGAGGCTAAGAACGCACCGGGGGTTGTCACAGGTACGATTTCTCTGTGCAACCATGCTGTGTATGTTTTATTTGATCTTGGAGCATCGCATTCTTTCGTAGCGAAACAGTTTGTTGATTTGATTGAGTTAGAACCGCAATTGCTTGATATCGTATTATGTGCGACGATTCCCTTGAATGATAGGATGTTGATTTCGTTTGGTTGTCCAAACTATAAGACTGTGATTGGGATTAGGGAGGAATTAATCAATTTAGCGGTTCTAGATATGTACGACTTTGAGGTGATAATAGGAATGGATCGGTTGTCTAAGTAGAAGGCCGTAATGGATTGTCATAGCAGAGTGATTCAAATTAATCCTGTTGGATATTCGGAAATTTTAATGGGTAGGAAGTCGAGGAGGACCCTCGATTCCGTTGTTATCCTCGGTGGAAATGACAAAATTGTTATATGAGGGATGTTAAGGATTTCTAGCTGTAATAGTGGATTCAAAGGCTGAAGAACCAAGACTTGAGGATATAGCGGTAGTGTGTGAATATCCCGATGTGTTTCCTCAAGAATTGCGGAGGATTGATGATTTGTTTGACCAGTTAAAAGGAGCTTCAGTGTCCTCTAAGATTGATCTGAGAACGGGGTATCATCAGTTGAAAATTAGAAAGGAGGATATACCGAAGACGGCATTCAGAACGAGGTACGGACACTATTAATTGACGGTGGTGCGTTGTTGAAAGAATTAGAGTGTGTATTGATGCAACATGGGCGGGTGGTAGCCTATGCATTCAGACAGTTGAGACCACAAGAATTAAATTATCCGACGCACGACTTGGAGATAGCCACAATAGTGTTCGCCATGAAGATTTAGCGACATTATTTATGCGGGGAGATTTTAAATTTATACTAACCATCAGAGCTTCAAGTATTTATTCTCACAGAAAGAGTCGAATGTGAGATAGTGACGTGGGATGGAAATGGTAAAAGACTGAGATGGTAATATTTTATATCACCTCGGAAAGGCAAACCGAGTTGCGGATGCGTTGAGCTGGAAATCAAGCATCGCGCATTTGATGGTCAAGGAGTGGATTTTGTTGGAGAAAGTACGAGACTCAGAATCCAAATTTGAAGTTATGGACCCAGAGATACAGAAGGTTGTTGGGATGGACGCTACTAAGAAAAAGCCGCGGTAGTCTAGAACGCAGGTAAGATGCGCTCTAAACCCGATTTAGGACTTCGGGTATTGACGAGTAATTTTCGGACAAAATCAGTATGGAATTAGGTGCGGAATTACGTGAATGGGGAGTGAAAATTTTATGGCGGGCCTTGGGATTTAATTCGGGCATTATTTATTGGAAATTCAGAAAATAGGGGCTGCGAATTACTGTTCATATGCTGCGAATCACTGTTCACAAGCTGTGAATTACTGTTCATGGGCTGTGATGACTAGTTCGGGACGCAAGTTGGATTTTTAGAACCGATATTTAATGGTGAGAAAGTTCCGTGAAGGACCGGAATCGATTTGACGTCATTTGGTTAGAGAAAAATAGCCATTTTGTGTTTATTGTGTGTTTGGAAAAAAAATTGAGGACCGGAATGAACGAGTCTTGAAGAACAAAACAATCCCGACGGTCAAGGTTATCTGGGAGCACCACGAGACGGAAGGCGTGACCTGAGAAGGAGAGGAACAAATGCAACGTTATTACCCCCAACTGTTTGGTAGTTAATTGGATTGTAAATTTCGAGAACGAAATTTTATAAGAGGGGAAGATTGTGACATTCCGAAATTCCACCAATTGGAATTTATTGAATAATTGAGTTTTATGAGATGTGCTCGCAGTAAATTCTCGCCCGGAACTGATCATTCCTGGGAATGCTAACCATTAGGGAAAGGCTAATAGGGGAATTAAATTGGCGCGACTAGAGAAAATTCGATCGTGAACGGATTTCGACCATTAAATCGCGGAAGTGATATTTTGAGCCACTGTTGGCCGATCCAAGGATAGTTAGGGGTCAGTTCGTCATCGTCCTAGTAGTGGATCGCGGGTGATTCCGTTGGACCACGAAGCGACTTGACGAATGATTCCGAAATTATACCGAACGATCATACCCCTCGGATCAAGTGATTGATCTTTGCGATTTTAATGACAACCGAGGTCGTCACGTACCGAACGGACTTGCACGTGACTCGATTTAGTATCAGTCATGAGTCGATTTCACGAATTTTCCCAGCAAAGCCGCCCGTTAGCTCGAGAAATGTTCGAGTTGCGTTTAATAGAATTTAATTATTGAAATTTTGCCCAAATTGGACACCGGAAAATTAGGAAGTCACGACGGAACGCCAGGACGACGTTGCACGTGACACGTGTGAATTTTTGGTGCGCTTAAATCCTTCGGAAAAATTCGATTTGGGCAAGAAACGGAGAATTGGACCATTTTACCCTTGAGTATTAAAGAAAGGGTAGTTTTAGGGGCAAGGGACATTTTGGTCATTTGTGCCCTAGATATTTTGGGTCAAAGCTACTATTCATGTCTAGACCATTCTTCTCTCTCTCTCTTCTCTCCCCTCATTTCTTCTCTCTCCCCCATCGTGAAATTCCCCCCCCCCCCTCCACCGTGAGACCTCTCCCCCTCCACCGATCACTCTCCCTCTCCCTCCGCCGTTCACCGCCGCGCCCCAAGCCGCCATCCGTACGTCCGCCGGACCGCCGCTGCGCCCAAGCCGCCGTCCTCACCGCCTCATCCCCACCCAACCGTGACACTCTCTCTCTCTTTCCATCTCTGGCCGTGGGCCCTCTTAGCCGCCGTGGACACCGCCGCTCGCCGATCGTCGCCGATTGTCGCCACCGCCGCAAGCCTTCGTCGGATTTCAAGTTTTACCGCCGCTTTTGTTCTAGCCGAGAGAGTCTAGAACGAGGTAAGTTGTGATCTAAACCCTCGCCTAGTAGATCGGGTTGTTTCGGGTTTAGATAGACGCGGGTTGTTGTGATTTTGCGGGCTAAGTTGAATTACGGGCCCTAGGTTTGAATTTCGAGGATTTTGGTGGAAAATTTGGGGCCGATCAATGCTGTGAATTGGGGTTTAGTGTGCTGTGGTGTGCTATTGGGTACGAGAATGGTCCCGTTGAGTCCGGCTCGGAGTTTTATGTAAGTATCGTGAAGAGTCAGAAGTGTGATTTTATGGTTCGAGTGCAGAAATTACTGTTCACGAGCTGTGCAGAAATTACTGTTCACGAGCTGTGGGTGTACTGTACAATGTGCTGTGGTGAGTCGTTTGACGCGTAATTGGTGCCGTTAGGTCCATCTTGGAATTTTATGAAAATCCCGTGAAGTGCTGAAAATGATTTGAAAACATTTGAACAAAGAAAAATACTGTTTTACGTGAGAATGTGTTTTTATGTGAAAATGGTGATGTGGTGAAGTGTGGGGTGCAAGTGTGCACGGAATTTGAGGCAATGGCATGAGAAAGTGAGTTGGGATCGGGCCGAGTATCATAAGCTCGGGCAACGATCATGTAGGTCTGTTGCATTTGGCACGGGCTGAGGCTCGAAAGAGCATGATTGAGTTCAGTCCGAGGCACGATCAGCTCGGGTGAGACCGGGATTGGACCGAGGCATTATAAGCTAGGGTTCCGATCATGTAGGCCTGTCGCATTTGGTGCGGGCTGAGTGTTGGTCGCAGTGTACCTGAGACGTGTACGTTTACGCAGGTCACTGGCGAGTGATGTGGGAAGTAATGAGTGATCGCAGTGTACCTGAGGCGTGTACGTTTACGCGGGTCACTGGCGAGTATTATGGGAAAGAAGAATTGAGAATGGAAAGAATGAGAAAGTGGAGGTGGAATGGGCGTATGTTGAGTGGATCGAAATCGTGTTATGTTCGTTGGGTGAGTGATTTGTGGAAAATTTGTATGTTGTGTCTTGTGTTTTCAAAATAAATTTTTATAAGTGGACTATTGTGCAGGCTGCGTGTGTCGAGAGTCCAGGTATGTGTATTCGTGTGTTTTGTGGTGGTTTGTTTGGTCATGTGTTTATCTATGTCTGGAATAACGTGATAGCCTAAGTAGGGTTTAGGTTACAACTTATTGAGAAGTGTCTCATGGTTGTATAAACCAAACCATTTCAGATCCCCGGCCTGAGCGATGAATATTCCGCCGCCGCCACCAGAACGTTTCGGAGCCCTCAGTAGATGGGACGATACAAGGGGATTTTGACTCAGAGGACAAAGAATCGGATTCAGAATGGACGCCTAGTAAGGGGCGTAAGGAGTAATATCCGGATATGGAATAGGTTTTTGCGAATACCATTTTTGGATGGAAAGTTGACCAGGTCATAGGCCCTTTTTGTTACTGACTGTAGTGGTGTGGCGGTACTTGTATTTATGGTGGCTTGTACGTGTTGGGGTGGCTTTGTAATTGTAAATATTTTGGTATAAGTTTGGAAATGAGATATGGATATGTATATTCTCCCTTAATGCCTCCCCAATTTTTATATTGTCCGGGATTAATTGTAATATCCGCTGTGGTTGTAAATCTCTGATGATTATTTGAGGTCGGCGACATTCCTGGGACGTCGCACTCATCGACCAGGTAAGGGGTGTCACGTGCCCATTGGGGTTCGGGGCGTGAC